CCCCGAATCTAGAACTCAGCAAACCCCAGGAATCTCCTGTGGATCTTCTCCCCCAGCTTGTTAGGTGGGTGCTGGAGATTCAAACTCCAGTCTCTACAGTCACATAGCAACGATAGCTCTTAGCCACTGAGCCAGCTCTCCATCCCCTCAAGCAGCAGCTTTACAATCAGTAAAGTTTTAACTGGTAAATTTAGCAAAAGTTAAGAAGTTGTTTTTTATGAAACTTGTGTGTCTGATAATAGTTGGTTAGCCCTTCATCAAGATCTGAGCTTCACTTGGTAAAGCCCAGACTCTGGGTATAACATCACATATGGGTACAAATCAATCCTCTGAAAACCATCTGACTATCAACAAGCCGGCAGTGTGTCAATGCCACCCTCGTCCCGCAAGGATAACGCGCGACACACCGGAGCTCTTCTTGCAGCAGTTTTCAGGACTTTATTCACAGCAATCTATCTCCTTCTCCTTCTCTTTCTCTCTCTCTCTCTCCTCTCTCTCCAGGCAAACCTCTCCCAGCCCTTAAGTAGGCATGGGCTGCCAACCCCGAACTGCCAGGTGGGCACTGCCCATAGGTTCACGCATATGCAGGCAGCTGATAATCGTTGTGTGATCATAGCGTAGGTCAGGCCTTAGCCATCTCAGGAGTTGATTATACATCTCCATCAGGTGTGACCCCACGCAGCTCGCTACAGCAGTGGAAGTAATTAGAAAAAGAAGCACGATGGGACAGCCCTCATATAGCTACAGGAGTCGGAGGAACTTGTGCGACCCCAAATGGAAACAGATTCTAATGCTGGTAAGGTCTTAGAGTTTAGCTCAGAATGCAAGTACAGAAGAGGGCTTTGTGAGTGATCAGGCCCTTGTCTTGGACCTCAGTTTCCCAGCTCAGGGTGCTGATCTTGTTCCTTTCACAGCAGACCTGAGGGTGGCTTGAAAAATGCTTGCTGCATGCTAACACTAAGATCACTGCTTTTCTTGCCCGCGCTTCACGTTGATGAGGATGACTGAAGCAAACCACTATGCCTAACCTTAGCTCTATTTTATGTTCTTTTGCACGCCTTCCTTTAACTCAGTTTCATCCGATTTCTATAGTAAGTAAGAAAATCTGACTGGCATCCTTTTCAAGGCATCCTTGAAACCCGTGCCAATGCTTTGGCCGCTCTTGCTGCCTCAGACCACTAAAGCATTTGCCCGAGAGAAGGAAACATTGTTCTCCTGGATGAGACAATGCCGCTGAGCTGGGAAGGCGAAAGCCTTCGGGTATCCGTGGCACAATTCACTTTTCAAAGGGGGTGAACTCTCGAAAACAATATTCCTGGGAAAACTACACTCGCTTCCTTCCTCCCGAGATCCTCCCAAAGAACAAGAGTACGAGGAGGCCGCCATTGAGAAGCCTCGGTTCTCTTGAGAAGAACTCTTAAGAGCTTCAAACTATATGAACTAAAGAAGTTGCACAGAAGAATTCTTGGAAATCATCATGTTATTTCAAGATAATTGCTAAGTGTAGCCACACGTTAGCCATTGAGCCTTGGAGTCATCACATGTTTTAAAGTTTTTTTTTTCTTTAGGTATCCCCACCCCCCCCCAAAAAAAAAAAGCCCAACAACAACAACAACAAACAAACCCAACAGGAAAAACACCTGAAAAGTAAGGTGAAGGTGGGGGTGTGGCTTCATCTTATTTATCCCTCCCCATCTGTTTTGCTGTGCTAGGGAAAAGACCCAGAGCCACCTCTGTGGTACGCCAGTACCTTGCCACAGAGCTCCAGTCTGTGGAAACTCTTAAATGCTGCCAATGTGAGCCCAGATGTTCTTTTCCAGTGTGACTTTATTTTTATGAAGTTCTCTGGAGCACCGAGCACTCTGGGGCCACTGGCAACAGCGAGGAGTATGTTTGAAAGGCTGATGAGGTTATTAAACTCCAAACTGGACTATTTGTTTATTTAGGGTGGTGCAGCGGTGTAGGAAAGAATAACAAAAAGACTCTCTCCCTCTTACCAATCATATATCTGCCTAACCAGTGGTTCTAACTGGGGTGTTACTTGAGTTAACAAGATTCTCCCTTGGGGTGTGAACACCCTCGAGGACGGTTTGGTCTACGCAAACTGTGTCTTAGTGGGCACGGTCATAATAAAAATCACTGGACTCAGAACCATGTAGATTCGTGGACGGAGAAAAGAAAACGCCCAAGTGATCTGCCTTTTCAATGTTTGCTTCTGCTTTGTGTTCACGAATCTCCATAAAAAAGATTCCTCCTAGTCCAGCATCCGGAGCCTGTCTCGTGCTTATACAAAAGGCAAGACGTTCAATTACTGCTGAAGCATCTGGTCCTGCTTTGAATTTTAACCAGGTCTCTCATGTCTAGGTCCCACCTTCTATCACAGACCCCACATCTCTGCCCAGATATTTTGCCTATTGTTCTCACATCTCTGGACCAAGGTAGAGGTTCACTTAAATATAATCATTGATGGATTATTCTAAACTGATTTATTTTAGAAAGGAAAGAGAATATGAACGACTATAATCAGTATCACGGTTCAGATACCATCACAACAGTTACCTAGAAAAATCAGACTTGACCCTCCTGTACCATTGACATATGCTTGAAGTCTAATTTGCTCTCTGGGATATCAAATATGTTGAAAGGAGCTGTTTGGATCCTGGCTCAGGATCTTTGGGAGCGAAGAGACTTTAGGGAGACACGGTGGTGGACAACAGGATGGATGTTAAGTGGAGGCAGGGACCAGACCCATAACCTCTTTGTCTGAGTGCAGACTCTGAGGTAACGTGGCCATGCAGCAGAGAGCAAGGCAGTGAGTTTCCTGCAGGACTGGTGTGGCAAGCGGGCAGCAGGGGATTAAAAATAATAGCTGACTTGATAGCCAGATAGTTAACCCTTATTTGTGTCATTAACTTTTATAGTTTCTCGTAAAGCCGCGCTGAGAAAAATGTTTCTCTTTGTAAATAAAGTATTGTAAGGGGAAAACAAATAAAAATAATTTTAAGAAACTTGTATGAGAATAGATCTCAACTCTTTATTGGTAGGATTATCATTCAACAACTCAAACAAGTGTCTGTTCTAAACTAGTAGGTTAAGTAACACTTGGTAAAATAGAACTATTTAATCAAACAGAAAAATGCAGCATTCTATAATGGTATTTTAAAACTGGTAAATATTTTAAAATCAAAGCTAACTTTATTTAAGGTTATAATTAGATACCTCAAATATAAGTCATAGGTTTATTTTAAATTAGAATATCTGCATCATTTTAGTATATGGTGAACTTGGCTCAAATATTTCATCATATACCATACCTCTTTCTCCACCAGGCTGAACCAGTATTTTAAAAGCCATTTCCAATGTCATTAAAGCAACAAAGGAATTGGTTTTGTATTTGTCTCCAAACAAAGCACAAAACAACTGGAGAGTCTTCCTGTAACTCTTGAGTAAAGCATTGCTTTCTGTCTGCTCCCATGTTTCTGTGTTGTAGGATACAGGAACAAAAGAACAGGGGAATTCATCTTCATTGAATCAAGGCTTTAAAAAAAATATTGCGCTATTTGCTTGGTAGAGCCTCCGCCTTTCCTTCCTAGTGGAACTGCTGCTTTGTCTTTTGACACAAGCTAGGGTCTTCTGGGAAGAGGTAACCTTAACTGAGAGATTGCCCTGTGGGCAAACCTGGAGAGCATCTTCTTCATCAGTGATTGATGTGCGAAGGCCCAGCCTACTGTGGGCGGGGCCCCTCTTGGACCCAGGTGGTCCTGGGTTACACTGAGCAAGCCAGTAAGCGTGACTCCGCCATAGTCCCTGCTTCAGTTTCGGGCTTCAGGATTGTGCCTTGAGTTCCTGCCCTGACTTCCCTCAATGAAGGACTGTGATCCGTCGGATAAAATCAACCTCTTCCTTGCAATGTTGCTTTCGGTCATGGTGTGTATCAGAGCGATAGAAAACAAGGTAGGACACATGGCATAGTGAAGGCCTCATGAAACAAGGATGCCCGCCTTGTTTACTTCATCCTTTACTTCAGCCTTGGTAAACAGAGATCTTAGTTCTGTTTTCACCTACGTTTGCAGCCCGAGTAAAATAAACCTTCAAATGCCAAGGCAACACTGAGTTGCCCGTTTTTGTATTCACAGAGTTCCCAGCCTACAGCGAGCTGAGAACAGCTGGCCACGTACATGCTCACTGAATGAATCCATGAACACAACCTGTGGTTATTCATTCGGAAAACCAAATAAAAGTTCTAAGTTTGCCTGTCACGGCGAGCCAGTGTCATTTCTTTCTTTCTTTTTCTTTTTCTTTTTTTTTTTTACCCCTGGGTTTGTGGAGGCAGAAGCCTCTCTGCATCATGTCATTGGATGGTCCCCAGTCTTAGCCAACAGATAAGAAATGTCATCGGCTTAACCCGGTAGCTTTCAAAAATAGCATGCTTAAAGTGGACATGTAGGTGTGCGCTAGAAAGAAACCATTTGCCTGTGGTCTTAAGAACAGGCTGGTAGCTGATGTTTAGCTGAGAGACCTAAAACGTTGCCTTAAGACCTGTTGTGAGCAAGCAAGAGATAATCAGAAGTCCCCTGGTCAGTGTGCCATAGCGTCTTACTTTCTTCTACTGATCAGGTAAATTTTTTTGAAAACTTCAGGGTTGGAGCAAGGAACCGTGTTCCTTTAAGATTCAATCAAGTCTCTGTGTGTGTGTGTGTGTGTGTGTGTGTGTGTGTTTTCAATAGCTCCGGCCGTTTCCCTCAAAATTTCAATGAATATTTGCACAATGAACCAAGTTGTTGTGGGTTTCCTGGTTTGTGTTGGTTTTCCCCCCCAGGGCGGGGGGTGGTGATTCGGGCAAGGCATTCTCAGCTCTTCGCAGACAAGTCCAGCTGCTGGTAATGCTGAAAATAGCTCAAATGCCCTCAGGCTGGGAGCACCACCCAGCAGCTGAGGCTCTTTGCTTCTCTCAGTTGCTTTCTCTACTGACCCCCGGGTCCCCCTTTTCGTCTCTGCAGACACTTGGATTGGACTTAATCTTAAACCTCTGGAGGTCAAGACCTTTTTAAAAAAGGGCTAAATAAACAATCTCTACACGGGAAAAGGCCACTGACTCCCGCTTCCTCTGCTGGAGCAACCGTGAAGTTCAGCCTCTTCAAGGTAAGGTTTTTTTTTTTTTGTTTTTTTTGTTTTTTTTTTTTTATTCGGGAATAACTTTTCTGGGGTGGTCATGACTAGTGTCTCTAAAGTAACTTTTTAGCGAACATAGGAGAAGGCCGGGGGCTTCCCAGGTAGACCCTGCTTCTGGGATGCAGCAGCATCATTGCATATTTTTGTGAGTGTAGTTGTAAACTCTGCCTAAAGCCCTCTGTCCCCACTGGCTGCCGCACAGAGCCGTCTGCTGCTGAGTTCTGCTTCCGAGTTCTCGTTCCTCGACTCCCACAGGGGTGACAGGACCTCTAGACACCATCATTTCGTTGTTTAGACTGCTCTCTTATTTTAACTTTCTAAAGGCTTTCTTTAAACAAGATGCAGCCCACCTGAGTAAAGACAGTGTATTAGTGAATGCTCTTGATGGATGGCCAGGTGGCTATCTTACAGTATGCCCAGCTCTTAGCCGCTGTACTTCCGGCTGGTGTGGACTGAGAAGTTGTTCGGAGACTGGATTATTATTATTATTATCATTTTTATTGTTGTTGCTGGGTTTTAGATTCCTAGTGTCCTTTGGGATGACTGACTTTTTGGGAACTCCTTCCCCATGCTGAAATTCAGCTAAGCTGCTCTCTTATGAGGTAGATTTTACGACTTTTTTTTTCTGACAATAAACATTTTTGGCTAGTAATCTGGCTCCCCCCCCTCTTCCGTCCCCCCTCATGCTTGCACTTGACATTTTGCAAAGCCCTTTGATCTGTGGACTTTAACCTCAACCACACCATTTACTTTGATTGTGAGTATTTACTATGTTCAGTAAAAAGGCTTTTTTTTTTTTTCCTTAATGCTTTGATAGCTATTCCTTCAGATAATTTACTGGCTTAGCTTCTGCTGCTGCTATGATTTAGATCTTATTTCTAAAGGAGCCTGCGACTTTAAGAAAAACGTCCTCCTGCGTAGCTCTCTCATCACAATGACTATTCTCACACAGTACATCGTTCCTGATGCTCTGACCCTTTAGTGCACACCTCATGCTGTGGTGACCCCAACTACAAAATTATTTTCGTTGCTACTTCATAAAAATAAGTTTGATATTGCTATGAAACGTACTGTAAATATCTGTGCTTTCCAATGGTCTTAGGCCATCCCATGAAGGGGTTCTTCTGCACCCTAGGGGTCGCGACCCACAGTTTGAGAACCACGGTTTTAGCAAGACTCAGCTCAGGATATCTAAAAGCAAGTAGCCAAGGCAGTTCATAGAACGGATTCTGTCAAACCCCACTGGAGTCTCCTGCTTCCCCAAAATTACCATGCGCCTTGAGGCCTAATTGTTGCTTTTAAAATCATGGGCACTGAAACGTTTGGCATTTCAAGATGCTTTTTTACCAAAAGAGTTTTGGTTAAAGACAAAAACCCAGAAAAACAAGTATTTAAATGGCATAGTGGGCTTTTGAGTAACAAGAAGAATAAGACAGAAGAAAAGGGCAGAAGAAATTTTAAAAAGAAAGAAAAGTAAAATAAATTAAAAAAGAAAATATTCAGTAGCCAAAAGTTCAAGTGAAATTTCTCTGATGTATGGGCTGAGGAGTTTAATGGAACAAACAGACGGTGCTTCCTAAAATGAATGGAATCTTAACACTTTTATCAATCATTAATCAGTTTTAAATACTGTCTTTACTTTCAGAACTATATACATATTGCATTTGCTTTCTGCTCTTTTCTTCCCTAAAACATTGACTATTTCAAAGCCCCCTGTTAGCTGCTGTTCTGGGTACCCTGGGTAATATTATCCCTGTCTATTGGAGGCTAGGAGCCTAATCCTAGGTTCCTAATAGTCAGGAAGAGGCTGTGAGATCTCTAAGGGATGGATGCAGTCTGCTCTGTGACCCTTGTAAGGAGAGAAAGCCAATAGCCACCACAGGGGACTTGATGGGGCAGAGGAAGGGAGAATGTTCCAGGAATGCTCCTCCTCAAGCAGAAGTACATGGAGGTCTCCCCTCCGGCGTGTGGACTATAGCAGGAAAGCCTGGAAAAGGGTCAGCATCATTGCCTTGCTATGCGGCCTCTCGGTCTACATTATAATGAACACATCAATCATCTTATTTCTGTGATTGGTGAACTTGTGAATCCCCTATAATGAACACATCAACTGTCTTATTTCTGGGATTGGTCAACTTGTGAATCCCCCTGTTACTGTGAGTGAGGGCTTCACCGCTTTCAAGGACCTCTCAGGACCAGGGATGGTCCCTTTGAGCAGTGGGAAGACTTGGGAGCAGTGTCAGGTACAGCTGTGTTCCTGGAGTCTGTAGCAGGGCTGTTAGCACAGATGCATAGTCAAGGACATCAGGAAGAAATGAGTTTTCCAGACAGGAGACTGTTGACCCCTTCCCGACGAGCCATGCCAGGTCCTGTTTGCCCCTTCTTCCTCATGCCCCTCTGTTTTAGTTTACTTTGAAGTATTGGATTGTTCGAATGTGAAACTCAAGGACAAACCCAGCTGAGGCCACCGAGTTTCACACAGGCTCCCAGAGTGTTCTTCCTAGCCTTTCTCGAAACTCGGCCCCTGTTTGCCAAACGTTTCATGAGTGTCAGCAAACCTGGACTAGAAACCTAATCCGACGCCAGGTGACTCCTGGTGACTTAAAGGCTTTGTTGTGTAGGTACAGAAGCTGTCAAACAAGGGCACTTCTCATTTCCACGACTTTACTGTAATTTCTTGTGGACACACATTGCTGTCTCTCTATATCCTATGATATTTTAAGGGCAAGTTGAAGTCTAATATGAATTTCTGTAGCTGTGGTATTTAAGCGTTGGCAAAGAGCGGCCTGCATTTTAAATTCCAGCTCAGTTTGAATCACGCTGGTGTGAACACGCTGGTATAAATTCAGCTAAAGCAAGGAAGTCCCAAGAGAGCTATGGAATGTCTTTCTTTGCTTAAATATACCTCTGTGCTTGCGACGAACAAACAGTAACATTTTGTCCAGGTCTGTCCTCTTGACAGTGCGCCTTTTGTTCCCTTTCCAAAGGTGGTGTCAAATATATTGGTGGAAAAATAATAAACTTCCCCCAGATTTTTTTTCCCTGCCTGCTCAACTGATACACTCCTAGGGAACATTGCGGGCATTGAAAGGTTTGCTGCTATTGCTGGTAATGTAAACTGAGAATAAAGGTGAAGTCAGCTTCTCTTGGGAAGGTGTGGTGACCCAGAGCTGCTGCTGTGTGTGTGTGACTAGTCAAATGGGACCTGGTTGTTAAAATGTGTGTGTGTGTGTGTGTGTGTGTAAGAGAGAGAGAGAGAGACTGTCTCTGTGTGAGAGTGTATGTGATGTCTGAGTCTTTGTGTGTGTCTGTGTTTGTGCATGTGTGTATGTGAGAAAGAGAGAGTCTGTGTGAGTGTATGTGATATCTGAGTCTTTGTGTGTGCGTGTGTATGTGTGTGCACAAGCTTACCTGGTGGAAGAGGAGAGAGGAGAATGGGTTTGCAAGTTTCTTTCAGCAAATCTGTGACCTCAGAAACAAAAGTGATCAAGCCCCAGGTCTGAAGACATTTTGTTGGTCATATTAATTTTGTTGGCAGAATGTCAAAATATCTTTGGTATTATTTCTCTCATTAAAAACAACAAGTGTTACGATTCCAGACATAGTAAATTATCTCCAACGAAAATAGGACCACTTTGAAGAGTCACATACTTGTAGAACTTCCATGGTTAGTCTCAGAAAAGTCATCATGACTCTGAGGTCATCATCAGACAAACAGCCACCTAGAAAACTAAGATTCAGCTTGACATTTTCTTAACTGAACAGTATGTGACCCCCCATCTGAAGACATTTCGAGAAATGAGTTGGTGAACTCAATAAAGATTTAGTTAGACTAAATTTACTGACGTTTACCAATGCAGAATCTTGATCAAATTAAATTTCAGAAAAGTTCTTTTTGGAAATTTTAAAGTCCATTTTAAATTTAGCAAATTTTACTTTTAAAGGTTTGTATCTTGCAGATGACTTGCAAAGTCACTGTTGTTTGATGCGACACCACATAAAGTATAAAACATTGTAAGATAGCAACAGCAAAACTTGGGGTTAATACATGTAGATTTAGCACTGGCTTCACTATTCTGGCTGTGAGACTTATGGGCATATGGAATTGAATAGTCCCAAATTAGCAAAATGAGAAGAAAGTGCTCAAATTTAGGTCCTAGAGAAAATAACACAAACCAATCAAGAATCATCCAACAAAAGAGAATGTCGCTAAATGACACAGAAGTTAAGTCTTTCAGGAAGGTCTATCACATATAATATTCATAAGGAAAAGAGCAAAGATACCACACCAAAAATAAATTCCAAGCTTATGTATATGCACATGCTTCTCTAGATCATTAAAGAACTTTTTCACAAATGACTTCAGCTGTCATTTAAGAATGCAAATATCTCTGAATTTAAAAATTGTTTTGTGCTTAATTTACTACCAGAAAGAAATGAGCCATTTCATACTTATATGTTTTATAAGGCTATATTATAATAGCCTAAATTTATATAAAATACATTTTTTAAGGCAGAAAACAAAACAATAATGTGATTCAGATCAGGTCAAGGTCAGAGAGTCCTTCCCAACATATCAAAGGGGATTATTTGCACAGCACAGATAATACACTCATCAGTTTCAACCATCTAAGGATATTTGAAATAAGAAATAATTGAAGGAGGACACAGTGCAGGGGCTAAGCATGTAAGTCAATGACAGAGCATCTGCCAAGTATGCGTGTTGCCCTGAGTTTGATCCTCAGAACCATCACAGGAGGAGGAAGGGAAAGAGGAAGAGGGGAAAGGGAGAAGAGGAATTAAAAACTACTTTAATCATTAAATACCCACATCCTGCAATCATCCTAAAATCTACCTGTCTCTCCAAGACAACCTTTCACACTGATGTGCACATTCCTTATTGAAATGCAGAGATTACTGTAAGGGTACGATGGTCTTCTCACTGCCGCTCTTATTCCCGGGCTTTCCCC